ACATACATACACAAAGATCTGATACTTTTACTTCAGAACTCTAGCCATGAGACTGTATAATAAATTTGTTATTTTTACAAAAGACTGTCGGACCCAAACCTTTTGACAAAATTGGGACCTGTTATGACTAAACTCTATTTTTCCCAATAGGTAATCCAAGGAAAGCTGTGGATCAAAATTTGGGGTAAAGCAGTTTCCATAGCAGCTTGACTTTTAAAAACCTGTTTTTTCCTTTTTTTTTTTTCGGTTTCGAATGAGTTTTATTGTTTATATTTTAACTAGAACTGGCTTAATTGTATAAGAAAAACAAAATCTCCAAATAACCTTGAATTAGTGTTACCATAAACAGTGAGTTTTATCTCAACACTGGTGGCTTAATAACAGCAGATTCAAAGCATGTGGAAAAGGAAAGAGAAACAGAGAGCATCCGAAGATACTGCTTAACTCTATATATAGTTGCAGGTTAACCATTTGAGCTCTGAATTTTTTGTTTTTGTTATTTGCCCATCAGTTTTAGAACATGCACAAGAATAGGCTATAATATGTAACCTGCTGGTGTCCTAGAAAACCTGGCATGCCTTTGCCCCTCTGCAGGAGTTTTTACCCTTTCTCCGTTTCCTGCTCTCATTTCTCAGTAGCTACCCTTATTGCAACAACAGCACATTTATTATCTTTATCATATTTTAATATCTTACCTTCTTACAATAGGTGATTCAGTTTCTGCCAGTGTTTTCCCAGAGTCCACAGTGGCCCATGAAGGTTGAGCAGTCAGGCAACTCCACCCCACATGCATATTGCCAACCGCCCTAGGATTCTCCCCGCAGATGCGCCTTCCTAATTCATCCATTGGTTTCTCAGATCCTGCTCATGACGCCAATTGTAATGAGAAAAACCTGGAATTGTATTTTTAAAAACCTTACCCCAAACTGGGAGGGAGCAAAGAGACCAAGCATGTCTGGGACAAGTTCAGCTTGGCTAGTAGATGAGTTTATTGGGATTTATGCATGAGGCACTCCTGAATGGCAGCGGGACAGCTTTAGAGATCTGTGCCACCTCCCATCTCTAAGCTAATTTTCTGTCTCTTTACCTACAATGTGTGTGTGATGGGACTGTTTCCCTTGGTAGGTTCTCAGCTATTCTCCAGGATGTTTGGGTTCTCAGGGACACCTATTCCTCAGCTAGACACCATGGCCTTGGCCTTCCTTCAGGGAAGGAAGTGGAACAGGCCTTCAGGGTTCAGGCAGTGGACATGTACCCTTAAATAACCTGGCAGGGGACCTGTCACACTGCATAGGTAGTTCTCAACTTGTGGCCCCATTTCTGCCCTAAGGCAGCACAGAGTCTAGCCAAGACGAAAATCGCTGAGGTTGGAGATGAAAACAAAAGGCTTTGGTTGAGATGGTAAAGGAGGCCCTTAAGAGTGGTGGAATCAGTGTAACCAGAAGGCAGTGCTGGAGTCGGCCTCATGAACTAGGGGGTTTCTTCTTGGCATTCCCCTTTTCATTTCGTCAAGTGTTTTACCCAGGTTTGGCGTGGCATAGTTCTGAGCCGGATACATTCCAATCACATTGCCAAAGTAAATTCAAGCAGGAACTGGAGTGTGATGTCGGCAGGGAGGATGAGGAAGGCAGGGAGGGCGCAAAAGGCAGCTGCAGCTCTTCGGGCTGGTCTGAGATTCTGCACTTTTTTTTTTTTTTTTGAGACAGAGTCTCACTTTGTTGCCCAGGCTGGAGCGCAGTGGCGCGATCTTGGCTCATTGCAACCTCCGCCTCCCAGGTTTAAGCAATTCTCTGCCTCAGCCTCCCGAGTAGCTAGGATTACAGGTGCACGCCACCATGCCTGGATACTTTTTGTATTTTTAGTAGAGATGGGGTTTCACCATCTTGGCCAGGCTGGTCTTGAACTCCTCACTTCATGATCCACCCACCTCGGCCTCCCAAAGTGCTAGGATTACAGGCGTGAGCCACCGTACCCAGCCTCTGCACTCTTACATTGGCTTCCCTTCTTTCCTGTTTTACTCTCCCCAGTCACTTATTCCTGTTCCTTTGGATCCATTCCCAAATAAATCACATACACAAAAACTCTTGACTCAGGCTTTGCTTTCAGGAGGAAACCTGGGCTAAGACAGTCGACATAAAAGTGATCCTAGAAGGCAGACCTGCAAGGAAGGGATTCACAGCTGTGATGGCTCTACTTTCTACAACGGAGTCATGGCCCTCATAGGAAACATATGGAACCCTGGAACACAGAATGGGAACATTTGAGTAGATTAATGTGAGAATTTTGAAATCCTGGATTCCCCTCAACCTTCAAGGCCAGTAGAAGCAGCTATCTTTCTCCTGCTATAGAAGACAACCCTCTCCTTGCCTGGAATCCTGCCAAGACTCCTCCTAAGGCAAGTGGCCCCAAAGTGATGCTTATTCTCCTTGATATCCCCTACCTCCCTTCACTGTCTGCAGACCGATAACCAGGGTTAGGTCTCAGCACAGCCTAAGTGGAGAAATACAGTATCTGACTTATAAGCAAATAGCATACACACTGAAAAAATTACAGGACCTATGTTCTGGCAGGAACAGGGATAACAGGGGTATGAGGAGAGGGGTGTAAGAATGTATCAATCTGGGGGCACTCTCATTATTCAGGGATTAACATCCAAGCAAGGATACATAAAACCATTCTGACATGCTTCTGAGACACTTCTTTGAAACTTGGACACAATTACGACCTTCGGAAATGAAGTAGAGACGCCAGAACTTCCTTGGCAGAATACCGAAGAAGTCAGAAGGCTCAGAGGGATAAGCATGTTAGATTGTAGTTATTATGCAAGACCAGAGAACCTACTAGAAGACTACATTCCCATGGGAAGTCCAGAGGCCACTCTTTTCACTGAGGTAACACAACATGTAAAGGTGAGGAATCCTTAGTGTCAGTGGGGATGGTAGGACTCTGGAATTGCAGAGACCAGATGGATAACAATCAACAGAGGAAGGGTAGATATAATAATTACCATAAAACTAAATGGCAACCAGAATGCTTTCACCTATAGGGTCTATCTGTGGCAATAGCTAATAGACCATAGTGTCCCTAGGAGTTAACTAAATTGGCAGATGACTGGGTGTTACATGACTGTAACAACAGCAATCCCCAAAATCAAGAGCTCATGAGCAGAAGGCAGATGCCAGCTGCCATAATGGGAAATAGTATTTCCTCATAAATTTCCTCGATGTAGGCCAGTTCTCAGGCTCAGAGCCTATTGATTTAAGGAATGGTCAAGTCTTTTTATAGAAGAACCGCCCAATGCTGCCAAAAGTAGACAAGATAATTATTTCCCCAATCTTTCCACATGAGGGATCTGTGGCCTTTTATCAGAGTAACTCTGGTCAAGGAGAAGAAAAAGAACCAGACTTTCAAAGGTACAGAGTATGAGCTGGCATCAATGCTGGGGGGAAACACTATCATGGTCCCCCCATGATAGAGGCTCGTGAAAGCCAGGTAAATGGAGTACTCATGCAAACAGATCCAAGAAGTCTGAAGATCCACACTGTACTAATTTCCTTATCTCTAAGTAAATAACTGGGACAGATACTCTAGCAACTGGCAGTACCCTAACATTTACTCCCTATTTTATTAAGAGCCATTAAGGTAAGAAGGGCCAAATGAAAGCCCCTGACACTTACCCTGACCTTTCTTACTAATTTATTAAATGAGAAGTAAAACCACATCCTGGGTGGCATTGCAGAGATTCATTTCAACATCAAATATTTTCTTCTTAATATCCTTCAGTCAGGAGGATGAAAAACTGTTTGCTTTTATGTGGGAATAATAGCAGTACATATTCACTCTCTTGCCTCTGGGCTATGTTAATTCTCCTCTCTGTCACAACACAGTATCTAGCAACTTTGATTGTCTCAATATTCCATTAAACATCATGGTAGTCCACTGTGTTGATGACCTAATGCTAATTTGACCTAGTAAGCAAGAAGAAGCAAGAACTCTAGATGTCCTAGTAAAGACATGTGCATGCCAAAGGATAGAAGACAAAAATATGAAGATTCAGGGCAATCACATTGTTCAAATTTTTTCTTACCTTTTTGTTCTACAATAAGTTAAATGGATGTAAAAGTAGACAAACTAGTAAAACGAATCCCTAGAACCACTATTCATAGCCCATATTATTTCATCTATATCCCCACCAACTTCTTCTATCCCATATTATTTTGAAACAAATGGGTAAAGTTATCAGGGATCAGTAGTCATACCAGGTTATCCCCTGTAAAGTAAAGGCAAGTTGTTGAGCTCTGTATCCTCCAACACTAAGGCATAGTGCTTGGTGGAGTATTCTTCTGACCCATCTATTGGGTGCCCCTGAAGGCTCTCAGTTTCAGGTGAAAACCAGAGCAGGAGAGAGCTGTACAGTGTTTCCAACTAGAGTACAAGCTTCTCTACCATTTGGTTCATATAATCCATCTGATACAATGGGGCTAGAGGCATACATGATGAATAAGGCTGCGGCGCAGGGTCTCTGACATGCCCTAATAAAAGAGTTTCAGCACAGATCTCTAAAGTTCTGGAGAAAGGCCATGCAGCAGAGAGTTATTTGACTTTTGAAAAACAGCTGTTTGGCCCCAATAAAAACCGAGAGCCTAGCAATGGGACATCAAGGGTCTATGCAATCAGAGATACCCATTGTAAGCCAGGAATTGTCAGAGTCTATCATGTCATAAGATTAGGCAGGTTTAAGCCAGACATGGTGGCTCACACCTGTAATCCCAGCACTTTGGGAGGAGGCTGAGGCCAGAGAATTACTTGAGCCCAGGAGCCTAGGAGCCCAGGAGGCAACACGGCAAAACCCCATCTCTAAAAAATACAGAAAAAAAAAAAAATTAGCTGGGCGTGGTGGTGTTTGCCTATAGTCCCAGCAACCTGGGAGGCTGAAGTAGAAGGATCACTTGAGCCTAGGGAGGTTGGGGCTGCAGTGAGCTGTGATCTTGCCACTGCACTCCAGCCTGGGTGACAGAGTGAGACCCTCTCAAAACAACAACAACAACAACAACAACAACAAAAACAGACTTATCAGCAATCCATCATATAATAGGAATGGTGAATTCAGGATCAGGACTAAGCAGGTCAATGGGGTGCATTTAAGTCAACAAAAGGTGGCTTAGACTCCTATGACACCTACCTCGGCTATCAGCTATATCAACCCTTCTGTCTTAGCTCAGACCTACAGCCTAGTGGGTAGTTCTCTGTAACCAATTGATGAAGGGAAAAACAGCCCTGACTCACAGACGGATTAGCTTTAGACACTGATAGTAGTTTAAAAAAAAAAAAAATTGTTCCTCTAACATAGCTTCATTTAGTGGGTAGCCCTAAATAACTTTGAAGGGAAATTCCCCCAGTGGGCTAAGCTGTAAGCAGTATACCTATTCATTCATTTTGTATGGAGGACAAAACAATTCCACATAGAGGTTTACATACACTTGTGAGCAATGGCAAATAGTTGAATGGTATCTGTTCAGCACTCACGTATGTACAACCTGGAAGTGCAAGGAGTTGACCAATGGAGACAGAACTAGGAAACAAATACCTCCTCATTCTATATGGCTCTTTAGAAGTCCCCCAGTGGGATTAAACCTCAGTAACCCATAGCAATGGGGATTGAGACAAGGCTGAGGGGAGGAAAAAGAGCAAGGCACTTGTCTCTGGTGCAAATTTAAGGAGGCACCAAGAAATTCAGTAACCAAGATTAATTATACTTTAATGCAATATTTTTTAAAATAGAAATTAATGCAAATACCCATGATGAACACAATATCAAAATTTTAAGTAAAGACAGGCTCAGTATTGCTAATTTTCCCTTTATTCTTAGGCTCCACTAGGGCTTCACACAGCACTCTTACTGATCCTGGTCATCACCAATAGCCATCTCAATTTCAGTCTATGTGGGCTTTACCTCCCTCCCTGTTCACTCTCCTCCCTAGTCCCTCGCTTCGTTTTATGGTATCACTACTCAAAATAAACGACCTTATGTAAGTTCTTGTCTCCAACTTTGCTCTATTATTTGGGGTAGAGTAGGGAGATGAAACCCAAGCTAAGTAAGATAATGACCATAATATATCATTTGAAGAAGGATACTTGTGAAAATACAGGAGGCTCTATTAATAATTTCACTGGATTAATAGGCATAAATCAGAGCTGTCCTAGCACATCAGGATGTATAGTCTTATTACAGGTAGGAAACTGAGGTTCCAAGGAGGTGGGAAGTCCTCCTAAGAGGAGGGGTCAGAGTGGAAGCTACACAAAAAGAGGCAGAAATGTCCCTCCGCCTCTTAATCGGGGCCTGGAGAAACAAACATACTTGTGCAAAATCTCCGAGAGGTGAGCTCTTCACCCTGTCAGTTTTATCTGCCTCGTGAACCCCAGGGCTCAGGCTCTCACACAACAGCAGACGGGCCTTAGGTCTGGGCACTGAGCAAAAAAAAAAAAAAAAAAAGGGGAGGCCGTGGTCCCTGCTTTGGTTACCCTGCTGGGTCTGAGCGCCAAATCGGATCTCCTCCTTCTCCTCCCTCCCTCCCTCTGTTCCTGGACTGGGGACAGGCCCTTCTGCAAACAAAAGCCTTCCAGTCGGAGAAAGCTCTGGCAGCCTGACAAGATAAAGCGCCCTGGGGGCGTGAGGAGAGCAAGGGCTCAAAATCAGAGCCCAGCGTGATGACAGTGCCTCCATGACTGTGCTCCCGCAATGGGCAGGCTCCATGTCCTGGCGCCCGCCCGCCCATGGACCCGGCGAGGGCTTCCAGGCTGGGCTCAGCCATTCCGCCGGCGTGCAGGGGAGGAAACTCGCCTCCCGGGCACTCGGTTTTCTCCTGCCCCCGCCCTCCCTCCGGTCCGGGCCCATCTCTGACGTAGTGTGACCTTGCTCATCCCTTCCAGGCTGTGGGCCTGTTTTCCCTGTGCAAGGCGAGGGTCCTGGCTGTCCGGGCGCCGCCAGGGTTGACCGAATTGAGCTCTCCTAGGACTCGTGGGAAATGAGCTCCCTGTCGGCGTGTGCCAGCTGCCTGCGCCGGGCGCCACAGAACAGGGCGCGTTCCTGCAGCTCCGCCGCCAGCAGAAGTTTCCCGGGAACCGACTCCACCGACTCGCCCCTCCGCGCCCCCCGCGTGGCCGCCTAAGCTCAGCCTCCAGATTAGAGGAGACCGCGGAGGGAACCCTGCCGGAGTCTGGGCCCAGGGTGACGCGACCCCAGCAGGTTGAGGGCCGACCTCTCCGAGACCTTGCTCTCCGGCCTCGGCTCCTCGCTTGCGCCCGCCCTCCCACGTGGGGCCCAGGTCTGGGAATCAGCGCTCCGGGGTGGCTGGGGACAACCGAGAGCGAGCTTCTCACCCGGCACGCGGGCGCAATGGCTGAGCCCAGCGTGGAAGCCCCCGTCAGGTCCTTGAGGGCGGGCGGGCGCGCAGAGCACTGGGCGGAGACAACCGGGAGTCCAGCCCCTTCCCAGTGCCCTCCCCTTCCCAGCGCCAGGCCAGGGATGGGGGTGTGGTCCCAAGTGTACAGTGGCATCAAGCTCCGCTCCCGGAACGCTCCAGCGCCCTCAGCCTGTTTCCCAGGACCGGTCCCCGGCTGCGCACCCCAATTTCCAACAGCCTGTCTGTCCCCGGGAACGTTCTGACATCCTTGGGGAGCCCCCAGCTACGCGACACTGTCCCGAGAACGCTCTCATCACCCGTAGTTGCAAATTTCGGAGCGGCAGTGGGAAGCATGCGGGACTACGACGAGGCGATCGCCTTCCTGGGCGAGTGGGGACCCTTCCAGCGGCTCATCTTCTTCCTGCTCAGCGCCAGCATCATCCCCAATGGCTTCAATGGTATGTCAGTCGTGTTCCTGGCGGGGACCCCAGAGCACCGCTGCCGGGTGCCTGACGCCGCGAACCTGAGCAGCGCCTGGCGCAACAACAGTGTCCCGCTGCGGCTGCGGGACGGCCGCGAGGTGCTCCACAGCTGCCGCCGCTACCGGCTCGCCACCATCGCCAACTTCTCGGCGCTCGGGCTAGAGCCGGGGCGCGACGTGGACCTGGGACAGCTGGAGCAGGAGAGCTGCCTGGATGGCTGGGAGTTCAGCCAAGACGTCTACTGGTCCACCGTCGTGACTGAGGTGGGTGCCAGGCCGAGACCGGGGACCCGGGAGTGCCTGACCCTCCCTCTGCGTCAGCCCCCCTTGAGACTCCCTGCGCACTGCCCGGGTCAGCGCTCCCCTCCCCTTCAAACCTGCTGTTCATACTTCCAGCAGCGGGTGTGCACCCCAAGAAAGAATAGGACTCACATAAGGCGCATTCCTGGGTCGTTTCTGTCCAATAAGGAGGTGATGGAGAAGGGAGTTTGTCACCAACTGTCTTTTCATTTCCGATTTTCACAACAAATGAAGTTCCCCAAGAACCTAGATGTGGCCTTGGGGGAAGCGCAGCCCCAGGCTACCCAGACGCACTACTTGAGTCACCTTCCTGCCAGGCATGGGAGGAGGGGTGTGAGGGACCTTGTTACTGGGCAGGGTGGGGCCAAATCTTGTCTGTTCATTGGCCACAGACTTCTGGAGGCATCAGGAGGTGTACTGCTGTACCACATACTTGTGAGGTTTGGGGTCCTGTCCTGAGGCCCCAGTTTCTCTAAGACAGCAGATGACCTCCCGAGGCTCATTGGGTGCAAGGAAACAGAGAAGGCAAAACCCCAGCTGGAAGCCCTGGCACTCAGGGACCTCTCTGAGCACAGGGTCAGTTGGCAGGCAGGGCCTGTAGCCCCTCAGTACCCTGCGTGGTTAGTGGCAGGTTTTCTAAGCTCCAGGAATGAGGATGCACACACACTTCCCTGTTTTTCCTGCTTCACATCTGGTAAGGACCTGGGTCCAGGAAACACCTTCCTCCTGAGGAGAGCATCCTCATAGAGCCATTGCCTGCTATTGGTCAGGCAGGCAGGATTTCCCTGCTGCTAAGTCCCTCCTCCGCCTTGTGCTCCTCCCAAGAAAAACCTGAGTGGCCTCTGCTAGTCCCTTATCCCTTTCCCTCAGCACAGTATAGCAGTCATCAGACATTGTGTCTGGCCTTGTGTTGGGCACTAAGGTGTGGATATCTGGGGTGTGGAGCCTGCCTTCAGATGCCCATGGGGCACACTGGCTGTGTTACTGAGAAGGCTAACATTAACCCTGGTTAGCAATAGGGTTCTAGAACCCAAATTCAAGTCCTGCCTTGCTTGCTATATGACCTGGGATAAATAAATCACCCTCTCTGTGGGACAATAAGCAGAGGAAATACTCTAAGAAGGGGTGATACGATTTTAGCTGAGTCCGAAAATGTGAGCAAGGCCTGTCTAGGCAAGAACATGGGAAATTCAGGGAATGGAATTCTCATACATCAGAGTGGCTGGAACTCCACGGATGACAGATACGACAGATAAGACTAGAAATGGCCACAGGGGCTAGTTCATAGTGGCCTTCTACATATACTGAAGAGCTGACTTTATTCGGAGGACAGTGAGGAAATAGTAAGCATTCTAAGGCTAGGTTTCTGCTTTTGGAAAGAGCTCACTCTAGCTGCTATGATAAACAAGACCAGTGAGGACGTTGTGAAACTCTCCTCTGCAAGAGAATGGTGGCCAGCCAGGCGTGGTGGCTGTGGAATCTGTGATACCTGTGGGAAGTGGGCTCAGCCCAGGGACTGCCTTTGGACCCCCCAGCACTGGCACCATACCTACCCTGGGCCCTAAGGTGGCCATGCCTCTCTGGCTTTGCTTCCCTAGCAAGGGTTGTAGTGCTTGCCCACTCCCTGCCCACAGCATGGCCTGGGAGCAGCTAAGACTGGGGCCAGCCCATCCCACGTCGATTCCTGAAAGTGTTATCAGTGCCTGTTATGGAGGCTGGGCCCACAAGCGGCAGCCTTCCCTGGCAGCTGGGCTGACCTGTCTGCTTTTCCATTGCTCACTGGTTTTGTTCACTGTAGGGTGTGAGGGGTGGGTATCTGCTGGCCTCCAAGTCCATAGCTACCCATGTTGTGCCCTGTTCACAGGGACCTCTAAGGATGTACATCATCACACATTCACACGCATGCACCAGGATTTGCTTTTTTCGGCAGCCTTTCCCCTTCCTGGCTTCCTTTTTGAGTGGTGGGAGTAAAATAAAAAGCAACTAGGGGGCGGGCGCAGTGGCTCATGCCTGTAATCCCAGTATTTTGGGAGGCCGAGATGAGCAGATTACTTGAGGTCAGGAGTTTGAGACTAGCCTGGCCAACATGGTGAAATCCTGTCTCTACTAAAAATACAAAAATTAGCTGGGAGTGGTGGTGCACCCCTGTAGTCCCAGCTACTCGGGAGGCTGAGGCAGGAGAATCACTTGAACCTGGGAGGCAGAGGTTGCAGTGAGCTGAGATCGCACCACAGCACTCCAGCCTGGGTGACAGAGCCAGACTCTGTCTCAAAAAAAAAAAAAAAAAAAAAAAAACTGGGCTCTGTGGGCTCTGGTGGTTGGGAGGAGGAGGGAAGGTAGCAAGTACCAGGGTGAGCAGGATGGATGAATGGCTCTGCCCAGAGGAGCGGCGGCACACAGAGTTCTGGAGTCAGACTCAGTAGAGGGCCAGTTTTGACTCCACTGCCAACCACCTGGCTGATTCCAGGCAGGTTACTTCACTGATGAAAACCTCAGTTTCCATGTCTATAAATCAGGGGTACAAGCAGATGAAAAGAGGCTCAACATCACTCATTGCTATAGGGAAATGCAAATGAAAACCATAATGAGGTACCACTTTGTACCTTTAAAGATAGCTACTACAAAACAAACAAACAAACAAAAAGAAAAAAAAAAAAACACCAGAAATCCACTTTGGGAAGCCAAGGCAGGAGGATTGCTTGAGGCCAGGAGTTCAAGACAGCCCTGGGCAACATAGCAAGACCCCATCTCTAAAAAAAAATAAAAATAAAAATTAGCCAGGCATGAGGGCATGCGACTGTAGTTCTAGCTTCTCAGGAGGCTGGGGCAGGAGGATCACCTGGGCCCAAGAGTTCGAGGTTGCAGTGAGCTATGACCATACCTCTGCACTCCAGCCTGGGTGACCCCACCTCTAAAAAAGTGTTGTTGTTGTTGTTGTTTTTAAACACAGAAAATAACAAGTGTTAGTGAGGATGTAGAGAAATTGGAACCCTTGTTCATTCCTAGTGGGAGTGTAAAATGGTGCAGCCACTACGGAAAATAATATGGTGGTCCCTAAAAAAATTAAAAATTAAAAAACTAATTCTGGATATATGTCCAAAATAATGGAAACAGGGCCTCAAAGAGACATTTGCGCACCATGTCTATGGTAGTATTATTCACAATAGTCAAAAGGTGAAAGCAACCCAAGTGCCCTTCCACAGACAAATGGATAAACGTAATGTGGTATATGCACACAAAGGACAATTATTCAGCTTTAAAAAGGAAGGAAATTCCGATACATGCTACAACATGGATGAACCTTGAGGAGACTACACTTAGTGAAATAAGCCAGTCACAAGACAAACTATTGTCTGATTTCACTTCAAGAGCAGTCACACTCACAGAAACAGAAAGTAAATGGTGGTTGCCAGGGACTGGAAGAAGGAAGGAGAAGGGAGTTGTTTCATGGGTATAGAGTTTCAGTTTTGTAAGATGAAAATAGTGTTGGAGATTGATTGCACAACAGTGTGAACGCTTCTGAACTGTACACTTAAAAATGGCTAAGATGGTATATTGTATATTATGTGTACTTTATCTCAGTTTTCAAAATGGGGATAATAAGAGAAGCCGCCTTATCTGAGTTGTTGGGAGGACTCAGTGAGAGAATGCCTCACGCCCCATCTGGCGGTGGCCAGCACAGAGTGTGGCACCAGCAAATGGGCTTCCTAGGTGGGTGGTAAGGAGTGGTAAGGGCAGGACCTCAGCACCCTCTTTGCCTTCTGCACTAGCTGGGCACAGTGGGCATGGAGGGAGGTGTTCTAAAGTCCAGGTTGTGGCCTCTGTAACAGGTGATGGGACTTGCTGGAGGCCGAGCCCCTCTCCCCACAGTGGCAGTTCCAAGGCTCAGAGAACAGAACACAAGTCCAAACCCATACTGACTTGGCCAGTGCCAGTGGACAGGGCCAAGCCCAGGGCCCCTGAGCAGGTTCTCTGCATCCCAATTGGCACAACACAGGTAGTGGGACTGTCCTCAGATTGTGTCTCTGCCTTCCACCGCCGTGCCAGGATCTCCCAATGGGCATATCCTTAGGGACAGACAAGTCTGCCTGAACTGCCCCCCAACACCTCTTCACAGGAGGACAGGGTTAGCCAGGAACCAAGGATGGCATGCTCTGCTGTAGAAATGCCTTTCATAGTATGCCAGGAGGTAGCAATAAGGTGTCTGAGTTGGGGTTTGCATGAGTGCATTCGTCTGTGTGTGTGCATGTGTATAAGGTAGTTTCCTTCTTCAGGGGTTGATTTTGAAGTCCAAGTTTTTCATCCTGTGCAGTTACTAAGAGTCAAATTATTATTATTATTATTATTATTATTATTTAATTTTTTTTTTTAGATGAGTTTCGTTCTTGTTGCCCACGGTGGAGGAGTGCAATGGTGCTGTCTTGGCTCACTGCAACCTTTGCCTCCCGGGTTCAAGCAATTCTCCTGCCTCAGCCTCCCAAGTAGCTGGGATTACAGGGGCCCACCACCATGCCCGGCTAGTTCTTTGTTTGTTTGTTTGTTTGATTGATTTTGTATTTTTAGTAGAGATGGGGTTTCACCATGTTGGCCAGGCTGGTCTCTAACTCCTGACCTAAGGCGATCCACCCACCTCAGCCTCCCAAAGTGCTGGGATTACAGGCGTGAGCCACCGCACCTGGCCATTATTTTTTAGCTTTATTTTGCAATAACTTTAGATTTAGAGAGAAGTTTGAAAATAGTACAGAGATTTCATATATACCCTTTATCCAGCTTGCTCTGATGTTAACAATTTAAATACGCATTATGCATTTATCCAAACCAGGAAATGAACATTGGTTACAATAGTAATAACTGGACTACAGACTTTGTTTGAATTTCACCAGTTTTTCTACTATTGCCCTTTTTCTATTGTAGGATCCCATCCAAAATCCCATGTTGTATTTAGTTGTCATGTCTCAGTCTCC